GGACACCCTGACCTGTATCTTTCATCCTTGATCAAAACATTTGCATCAGTGTTCATTGTATACTTTTAATAAATATGATGTAAAAAAACAAACGTACCCAGAATTCCTCCACAGGGATTTTGGGTTTCTCTCCAGAGCAGCCAGGCCAAAGCGCTCCTCTGATGGGGCAGGAGAGTCACCTGAATAACCAATCACAATGAAACAATGTTATAAGAGTAACATCATGGACCAATTAAAAGAGGACCTGTTATAAAAGCTGAGAAGTGCATTGTCTGGGTCCACATACTTTATAGAGCATTGTGTATTGAAAAAACTGTCCAAATGATATAATAAATACATAAATCCCTAAGTCTCATTGTTGGTATGAGATTTTCTGAGTGAAGGGCTGAGGAACAACTGAAAGAGTGTGTCACCTTGATGCCCTTGGGGTCAGGGACCTCGGCCTCAGGGTCGGGGCAGGACTCCAGGGATTTGTGGAGATGGTCGGTGGCCTCGCAGGTCGCATTTTTTACTGCTAGTAGACGGTCGTTAGTCATCCTGCCGCCGTAAAAGGACTGAACCTCTGACATCCCTGGAGACAAAGATGACAGAGACAAGGTGTTTGCATGAGATACAGAACAACTGTGTGGGAGGAAATACATGTAGAGAAAAGGAGCCAGATGTTTAGAATACACACGGTTGATACTTTAAAGGTTCCCTATCATACTGTTTTACACCAATATATTACAGGTCTCAGATATATACAAACACCAAACAGATCATTGCAGCATTACCCATAATCCCCTCTGTTTCAGCCCTGTTTCCAAAGTGCTGATTCTCTGTCTGTTACTTTAGATGAAAATAAGGAGCCCCTCCCCACGCCCCTCTGAGAGATATTTGGTTCAACAGAACTCAATGGTGCTCTAGGAGGAGATTCAGGTGATAAGGTGTGGGGTACCTTGGTTGCTGATTGGCTAATGGTTACACAAGCCAAAAAATCGTTATGACATCATAAAGTGGCCAAAATCTGATCAGCTCATTTTCAGACAGGTTTTTATATAAATGGATCAGGACAAAAAGTCAACCTACCTCCATGCATGTGGGGGTGACCCTGGCTCAGTTGGAGCCCCAGGGAGCTGCCGGAGGCCCCGTGTTGGTACAGGCCCGGGGCGGGGGGGGCTGGGAGCAGGATGGTGCCCCCCTGCCGGGCGAATGGGTTCATCTGGCTGCTAATTGGACAAGCAGCAGCACTTTTACGTCCGGCCTCGGCCTCTGAAAAAATACATTTCAGTTCCAGGGGTTAGAAACTATAAAACCATATTTATCAGACATAAAGCGTATTGTTTGGTAAAAAAAAAGCGGTATTTTTATAAACATTATATATATTTATATTATCCCTAGTGTACAGGGAGTGAGTTACCAGGCTGAGAAGCAGCAGCGAGGCTCATGGACTCCAGGGCGTCCTCCAGCTCTTTCACCTGAGTCATCAGCCTCTCCCCTTTATCAGGCAGAGCCGCCAGATTCACCACAGACAGAGTCGCCTTAGGAGGAAGATGATGGGTCAGAGGACAGACGGACAAAATGTGATACATATAAAAGATGCAACCCTAGGATAAAAACTGTGATTCATTTGGTTAAAAGCCAAATAATAAGGTTCACATCTCAACTGTTGTCCCCTACTTTTGAGGTTTTGCAGTTATCTGTAAATACTGAAGACTGTGACCACTTAAATATTTCCTGGTCTAGGTTATAGGTGATTAAAAGAATGTTTCCCTGTCTACAAAGTCAGAGATACTGTTCCTTCAATCATACCAACAAAATATAACATCATTTATGCGCGGCTGTGGCTCAGTGGATAGAGCGCTGGACTTTGAATCAGAGGGTAGCAAGTTCGAGTCCCACTGCAGTCAGCATGTCGTTGTGTCCCTGGGCAAGACACTTCACCCCTAAAGTGTTCCTGTGGGGATTGTCCACAGTACTGAATGTATGTAAGTTGCTTTGGATAAAAGCGTCTAACAAGTGACATGTAATGTAATGTAATGTTACGCAGCACTTAATAGTAACCCAATTGCAGGTGGTTTACAAAACCAAGGATGTTACGAGCAGTAAAATGTGAATACAAAACAAAATAGCCTCAATCAAAACCATCTCTAAGTCTTTCCTAGGGAGGGTGCATCTAGCATGGCTTACCTTTTTCTGTTGGAGTTGAGCAGAGAGCAGGCTGTGAAGCCCTTTAGGAACTTCCTGTTGACCTTTGACCTTAGGCTGGAAGCCAGCGAAGGTGGTCAGGGTCTTTTGAACTGCAGCAACAGAAGGAGATTTCTGAGTCGCAGGTTTCACTGACACCACCACGACATCATCATCATCATCTGGTTGTGTTGGTTTGGTAGATGTGGGGTTCCTGGTGTTATCAGAGCCACTGGACACCGGGGTGATTTGAGTAGATATAGGTTTAGAAACGGTCTCTTTTACAGTAGGCTTGGTTTGTTCCACCAGAGAGGCTTTACCCTTGTTTGGATGCTGGGGTAACTCCTTAAGAGGATCTTGTAAAGTTGTATGTACCTTCTGGGGGTGAGCAGCCTTAACATCGGAGGTAGAAACTGTTTCTTCTGTTTCTCCTTGCTTTGGGTGGCGCTCTTTAGTCTTGTCTTGCACCTTATCTGTATTATTTTCCAGACCGCTTGCTTCCGAACTGTTTCTCTCCTCATCGGAAACTCTCTTCTTTACCTTCATCCCCGGTGGGAGTGGTTTACCTCGGTAAGAATCCTCTTGATTCACCTTTTCTCCAGCCACCTCCACATTCTCTTTCTGATAGCCCTCTCTTCCCTCAGCCTTGTGACTTGGCTTGCCGTCTTTCTCCTCATCTCCCCCCCGATGCATCCTTCTCCACTCAGAGTCCTTGTCCGTCTTGCCACCGGCTTTAAAGGGGTTTAGGACGGGAGGCAGACAAGAGGGCTGAAGCTGGGTGTAAGATAGAGGGTTTCTCTTATCTTTCTCTGGCTGCAATGATGAAAGACAATATTTATATCTTTTTTAAACTGGTAGCGGACACACAACGAGAAAAAAATATTGGTAATGACATATTTGTATAGTCGGTGATTTAATTTTCCCCATGTCGAGTTATATCTCCTTGCTTGAGCATATGTGGTCTCTTTTGAAATCATGAAATCAATACAACATACATTTTGAACATAAGTGTGTGTATGGTGTGTATGGTGTAATCTTACTGCAGTCCAAGGCACATTTCCACACCACTTCTGGCCTGCCTTTTTGCCTTCAATGCACCTGTAGAACAACCTGGAAAAAAAGATGTCCCTTAGTTCAAACTGCCTAATATAAATGTAAAAAATGCAACTGGTGTTACTTTTCATTTTGTTTTGTTACTTCCTGTTATGGACCATTAAACAATGCACCCACCTGTGGCTCTGCTGTTGTAGACTGTAGGTGAGGGCCTGGAGCTCCACCATTGAATCTTCATGTTGGAGGCAGTGGGATGGAGGGATGCTATAGGAGAATAAAGTTTAAAAACAGGGCCATACATCTATGCACAAACACCCCTATTTATCTCTCCTAACAACAAAATGAAGGAAGTCAAATCTAGAATTTGCCAAACAACTCTACTTTTATGCCAGTGATGTTTGACAATGACATGACTCACAACAGAATGTATATGGCTTATATCAGTGGAATATAATTGGATATGAATGATACAACCATATCAGTGTGTGCCTATGAGAATAATTGAGGTTTCGATATAGGAAAAGTAAGGACACTATTGAGGGACATATAGCTTTCCCCCCCCAATTACAAGGATTTCAATTCATGTCACTGCATGTGGAGTTGCTTGGATCCACCCTTCACTTTCGATATCCTCTCTTAATTGGTATCAGGGATCAGTTTGGACATTTTTTTAAACTTTTAGATAGATCTGAATTCCAGACTGCAATGGATGGACTGAGTATATTTGCTTTTAAGAAGTGTCTCTGTTGTAATGTGTGAGAAACTGTGTTAGAAACTCATGTTTCATGTAGTAGCACTTTAAATGCTATAAAGCTAGTGCATTGCAGTATTTGAATAATGCTGGTTGATTCCACGTATTATAGGTGGATTGGGATAAAAATTGTCAGCTAAATTTAATGTAGGTAATGCGAGATTACCTGGCCACATGACAGAAATCACAGCCTTGCTTGTCAACGCAGACGAAGTAGCTTTTGCCTTTACTTGGTCCATCTTTAACGCCCGTTTTTAGCATACATATGCTGCCTGCATGGGGGACGTTGAGAAAGAGATGTCGAATTAATCATCTAGCTAAACTTTCTTTACAGTACAAGACAGAAACGAAAATGAGTGGACACATTTGGTTTCGTTAATTCAGACCTTCAACAGAACATGCCTTGTCATGCGCATTTTTAGCATAACTATGACTTTTGGAAACTAATCACAATATGTAGCTTTATATTTTTTATAAGAAACACTTAACTAATTGTAACTTACCGTGGACATTACATAAAATCTTCTCCATTGTACTGGCGCATTCACTTCAGTTGCTGTTGCTGAAATGAAAATGAAAATGTTCGTATGAACCAATCACAAGTCAGAAAAGACATCCGGTATATACATACCAGAATAAATGTCGACGTACACATCTTTGGATACAACTCACTTCGGATAGCCATAAAAGTAAATAAATGTCGATACAAATCTATTAAAACGTAGAATACACCAGGACTTAAGTATACAAAGTGAAAAGTAAACAGTACGCCAGATTGAATTATCTCAGTGACTTTTATTGTGAAATACTTTTTGCAAGCGAGCCGTTAAACCGGATATAGTTCAAAACTATTAAAAAAATATATATATATATATTCCGTGTAAATATGACTTTTATATTGATAAAAACTCACCATTGATAACAAAAAACTGTTATGGTCGTTTATTGTAAAAAAAAATGCTTATTTAAAACAAAATTAGCGAAACAGATTTTTTCAAGACAGTTGAACTACATTACCCACAATTCAACATCTGATTCGTTGTCTTTTTTTACTCTCGCGGGTTTTGTTTTGGTATGGCGGCAGGCTTCGAAAGTTCTGTATGTTATGTTTCTATTTTGCACTTTTACACTCCGGTGACACCGTTTCTCGCCCATGTTGAAGGTAAATCCCATGTTTTAAACACTTTGAAAAATGTTGCTAATGTTTCTGCCTCGTCACTACAGTGTAACAACTGTCAACATAGCTTTGTGTATCTTCAAAGAGCCTGCTAACAGCAAATATCACCAGGGACGCCTTTTAAATGAAATTGACTACATTGTACTCCGAGCACCATTCCACTATCTGTTATTAAATTTCATAAATGTTGTCACTTTGTCAATGATTAGGACGCTAGATTTCACAAGCAGCTGTGGTTTACCGTTGCTAACCAAACAAACTGCCGTGGTGAGTCGCTACCGTTTAACCGTCTAAACCAGAGTTGTCCATTTATTTTACTGAGGGTCACCGACAGAAAGATATACAAAGGGCTGGGCCACTCACTAGAGGTAAGGTATATTGCCTTGTAAATCAGAAAATTCAATCAAATATAGGTAAATTATTACAAACAGCCTACCTCAAAGCTTTCAACTAATAGGGTTTCATTCATTTTGTTACAACAAGTGTCTGCAGCTCATTCCTTAAAACAGAAGCCTAAGATTGGGGGTGGGGGGATAAGACAAAATAGGAAGGGTATATTTCAATCTTGTTAAGCAAATAAGTTATTGGGCTTTTTCGATCAACTAAGATTTGTAAGTTTAATTGACAGATTTGTTTTGTCTAATTGGTCTTATTAACACATGAAAACTATATTTGTACATATTTAAGAAGTAGAATATAAGACAAGCACATGTTTCATGTGTGGGCCATATTCCATTATACTTTTAGAATTTCCTGCGGTCCAATAAAAAACTGACCACGGTCCGCAGTTGGGACACTTTGTTCTGACCGGTGAAAGCCAGACACTTATTAAAAAAGCTAATTGTTCTTTCTACGTAAAGGGGTTACTAACTTATATATAGTTTTCTTGGATCTTGGCACCATTTGAGCGTGCTGTACAGTATTTAATCAGGCTGTGATCACCATAATCTGTCTCCAAATCCTGGATTAGCGAGCCCTGCCTGAGACAGCACGTCATCCTCATGTCATCTCCAGCCGGGCTTCACTTCTCCCAGGCAGACTTTGTGGCCCGGTGGATGCCAAATAGCACCAGAGCCGGGGTCATCCTCAGCCCCTGCCCGGATTTGGCAGGCTCCTTGAGACACAACTCTGCCATGGGACCCTCCTCCCTGGAGCCAGACGACTCCTTTGCATCCGATTTCGCCCCTCTGCCCGGCTCAGCAGACAGCAGCTGCCTGGGTGTGGATGGATTTACTCGGTCACCTGGAGGAGCGAGAGCTGGGACGGACATGCCAGTGAACGGTCTGTCCTCTGGGAGACATTTAGATGGAGAGTTGGACAGTTTGGACGAGATGGCAAGCAAATCACAGGATCTGCCCCTAAGGATGAAGCTTGAACAGGTTAGGACATTCTGCTTTAGAATCTGGTGTCTCATACAAATAATGTTTTTTCTTCCAAGGCTTCAGTCATTGTAATAACAACATGAGTTTTGTTTGAAACCCTGAAGCAGAATGCACAATCTGGTTGTCAAAATGAACACTGAAGAGATTTTATTTTAATGTGACTCAGAATATTACCTGGAATACTTGACCAAGCCAAATGAACATGACATCTCTTCCCTCTATCATGCAATCTGATCAGTGGACATCTTCATTTAGTAACCTTTACTGTCTACACACTTAAAATAGCCGTGCAGCAGCACATGCATTATGTTAGCTGATCTGTTGTTGTGTCCTAAACGTGTGAATTTCCGGCTCTTTGTGTGGATTTAAATGGTGATTACACCACTGCTTCCTGTGTACTTAACTTAACATCTACCGACCCCATCTCACACAACCTTTGACTTGCTATTAATAGTGTTTCCCCGTAAGCTACCCTTATCAGCAAATACTTGAAAGTGAGTGCATGCAAGTCAATCAGCACTTTTAACATATTCACTCTTTAAATGTGCAGTGTACAACTGTGATGGACAGCAACAAATACATTTACAAGTTAGAGTGGTGAGGTGGAATTAGTGTCAGTATGAAGTCACAGGTTCAATACATTCCACTTAATATAAAGCCATGTCTAGTCAACATATATTTAAGCCTACTGAAAACACTGTGAGTTGCTGTGGATAAGAGTGTAACATTTAGATATCGTTGTGTGTGTTATTGTGCAGTTGAGGAAATGGCAGCAGCAGATGCAGGAGCAGCTGAAAGCCAATCAGCTGGGGGAGCTGCTTCGCCTCCAGGAGGAGCAGCAGAGGCTGCTGGGAATGATGAATGGATCTCAGCACTGTGCAGGAGGTAAGAAAGAGAAACAACCAGAAAAACTGCACTTGTGACAGTTTGCTTCATTTAAGAAATACATACAGTACAGTGTTTCCCCTAGGATGGAGTCATAGCAGCGGTGCTAAGGCACGTGGGCCCAGCATATTGTGAGCGCGGAGCGCGTGGAATTTTTTAGTGTGTGCGAAGTGCGCCCCGCCAATTTGTTTCTGTGTCTGTCAGCACAAGAAAGGCTCTTGAGGCCTGGTACCAGGGCCGGTTCTAGCCAATTTGCTGCCCTAGGCGAGATTTTATATAAAGAGTAAAGGAAAAATCTCTACAAAAGACAAATACACTACAAAAACAGAAATGTATTGACATAGGTAATGTGTTCAGTATTGTATGAACATGTTTGAAGATAGGGCAGGGAGGCAGATCGGGTAGTGACAACTGGTGTCACTACCCGATCTGCCTCCCTGCCCGCATGTGCGAGATGGTCCGCCATATTGGACAACTCCGTACGGCAACCCAACTAGGACACTTGACACAGTGGCGTTTGGCAAAGCCAATGAAACGACAGCGCGAGCTACAAGTGTGGCTCTGTGAAACCAAGGTAGGGGGGGGGGTACCGGTTGAATTCTCGTCTAGCGCAAGTGGTGGGCCCTAATGCAGGGCGACCTCCTCTAATGGGTTTACTTCGAGACGGCTGCAGTCGAGAAGGTAACAAAGACAAAACCCCCAAATGACCACAGGATGGCTAGACGGAGGGACGGCTAGACGTCACACGCACGCTCTACCAGGCGGTATATCAAACTGTTGCATGTATGCCGTTGGAGATATCCTGTGACTTGCTCACCGACAAACGTCGTCTTTTCTTGTGAGTTTTCTTTTTGGCTTCCTCTCTACTAATACATGAGATGTTGACCACTAAGAGATGAATAAACTTTGTTGAGAAAGAACCAACACCAAGAAAATTAACCTCAATTCATGTAACAGCTTATTCACTCTTTACCATTAAATTGAAGACAATCTTCGCATATACGGTATGTAAAAACGTATGTAAGTGTCATTTATAAGATAGTCATACTATCGGAAGATTGCTTCGAATGAGGTAAAGAGGTGAATAAGACCTGTTAATGAATCTGAGGTTTTATTTTTTGGGTTAATTTCTTTCTCAACAATTTAGAGAGATCTCTTCCAGTGCAACATTATTGTTATAGTAGCAGAGGAGAAAAAAACCAA